ATATTCATACGTGAACCAAAGAAATAGTACACTCACAATAGATATATTCGCACATAAATCGTACTTTAACATAATGTTTTGCACTCCGGTTTGCGATGATTCGGACTTATCACTGGCGTATACTTGTACAACCGGCAATCCAAGCGGAGTCTTCCAGTGAACAAACTTCCCACACGACGCAATAACCCGCGCATTCTCCGCCAGCCAATCCTGGATCGCTCTAGCGCCCGTAAACATGGACCCCATACTGTCGAAGACTGCAGTAATAAGCATATGCACGAGATATTCAGATGGATATGGATATGAAAATAAAAATGAAAATTTCGATTTATATATAAATATATATATATACATATACATATACACTCACACCCACATATATATATATATAAATATACTGTATATATTCTCTACTAACACACGCATATTATATATATATTACTACTGTATATAATCTCTACTAATACATACACGCACAGACATACACACACAAACACACACATATATATAGATATATATATATAGTAAAAGACATAGATATGTATGTTTATGTATGCAGACTTACCTTTCCTCGTGACATATGCTGCAGCCGGATATACGTACTCTTCCGGGATGTCCTTGCGGTCTTGGAATCTGCCTGCGATCTGCTCTCTCGCTCCCACAAACGTAACACCGTACACATTCGTCATGACCGTTTGTTTGACCACTTTACGCGTGATTTTGCCCTCCACCATCAAGGCCATCTTCTGCTCGTGCGAGAGCGGGTTCTTCTTATCGTTGGACATGATTTTATGTAATAAATCTGTGGCAGACACACAGCAAAATTGGGTGTTAGATTGCCGACTTTGTTATTGGATTTTGTGTATTGAATATGTGGCATATGAACTCCATATCGGGTACTACTACAGCATTCAAATTTAGAATGAATTCGCATATTTGTCTCCCGATATTTTTGTTGGATTGTTGTATACACGAGCGGTAACTGTATTATCCCTTAGCTTTACCCCAAGTTTGTGACCAAATCTTTCTCAAAACCACCCAATCCTTTGTGCCAATATCTATAACCTTGTGCAATGCATCGGCAGTGTAGTACATAGAGATTCGGGATATACATCATCCAGATTTTATAACTATACCTACAACTGCGAAAGTCAATTCCTGCCGAATTAATCAGGTCTATGCACATACAAATAACTAACTATCCTCCTACCTTGATCTTCCCGTGTGAGATTAGGGTCGTGCTGCGGGTGTTTGGGGTCAGCCTCAGGAATGTCTGATACTTGCAAAAAGTCGGTGCCCTCCAAAGCTCTGTATATTTGTATGCATAAGTAGGATCGGGTTTAGGGTTTTAACAAAAGAAGTAGCGTAATCTGTATATTCATGTATAAAAGTAGCTCTGTATATTTACACATACAAAAGTAGGTTGAAAGATATTCAGGGTCTATGTTGCGGGTATAAGCGTTTACATTTATAAAAACGTTGACATTCAAGTGCTGTCAAAAGGCTGAAAAACGGGATATGAGTGTCCCTAGTTCCAGAAACCTGGATGTATAAATCATTGCACTGACAAATTATATATTTATGTATAAATACAAAACAAAAACGTATGTTTCAGAACAGAGATGCTCTGTAGAGATGCGTAATTATGGCAATATACAGAAGGTCATCTGCGCTCATATCCAATCTTGGCGCAGGTAGCGTACACATCCTGCAGATTTGGGTACAACGAAAAAAATCGTATATCGACAGAATATATATATATATATATATGTATGTATATATATATATATATATATGTATATATATATAAGTATATATATATATATATAAGTATATATATATATATATATATAAGTATATTTATATAAGTATATTTATATAAGTATATATATATGTGTATACATAAGTATACATATTATACATATACATAAACATATACAGACACACACACAAACACACATATATATATAATACGACGAAGCGCATACAACCAAAACCAAATATATTCGCGCGTTATACTTACGCCAAGGCCTTCTGTGCGTCTGAATGGATGAGTTCACGCACAATCTTTGCGCATGCTTCATACACATCCTGAGGTTTCGCGTCTTTAGACGGAAGTACGTTGACCTGATAGGCACCTGTGACATCCCCTCCCAAGGCAGCGTAATGCTGCAGCCCATTACACGAACCATCCTACAAATAGTATCCAATCAAAAGAAGGGGTTTATAAATAGACAGGACAAAGTTCGGCATGGGATGGATGGGGATTTTACGGTGGAACATTGTCCGGCTATCCGCCAGCGACAGAATGACACTATGCGGCGTATTGCTCCAACCCAACCCAAGAGCCATTCTATAAATAGGACCCAATGAAACGAAAGCGTCTATATATAGATTTTAATGTTGGCGGACCTATGACTAGGCGCATTTACCACCACTACCGAGTGTTGTGGTGCGCTATAAACAGAAACCGTTTAGAAAGATCGTACAGATATGATATGGTGAATTGATAGTTTATGGAACGGGATAGCACAATAGAGCCCATGCCCAGTGAGATAGGCCGTAATAACTCACCATGCTTCAAAAACATAGGCACATCTAGTTACTCTTATGTCGACACACAAGTGTGTAGATATATATGTACATAATATATAATATATATATTATATATATATATATATATATATAATAATAATATATTATAGTTATATATTAACTTACGTAGGTACGTAGTATGTAGTT